AAAAAAAAAAAAAAAAAAAAGAAAAGAAAAGAAAAGAAAACAGTATGATTAATGCTATAAAGGTAGCTTTTTCTAAGGAATTACAGAACACAGGGAATAAGCCTTCTCTGGTTGGTCAGAGCGGCTTCCCCGAAGTAAGATGAAATGAGGTCTGAAAAGCAAGGGGGAATTGGCTGGAAAAAGGAAGGAGAAAAATATGCCAAGCCAAAGATGAGCATATGCAAAGGCACAGGGGGAGAGTCAGGTTAATTCTAGAACCTGAATGGAGTTCAGTTCAGTATGACTAGAATATAGACAATGAGAGGAATTTTCGCCATATATAACACAGAGAAGTAGCAGAGACCACGCCATTGTGAGCCATGGGAAGTAAGCTTTATCCCAAAAGCTGTGGGGCACTTGGGAGAGTTTTAAACAATGGCGAAACATAATCAGATTTCATTTTAGAAATACAACTCTGGGTGACTTCCTGGTGAACATGGCCAAGTAAATCTGGACCATTTTTCCTCTTCTAACTCTCAATAAAATAAACCCCAAAAAAGGAAAAATCACAAAACACCACCGACCAAACAAAACAAGGGGTGCAATCTGATGCTGTAAACATTTAGACACGGCTAAGGAAAGAAAGAGAAGATTCAGCCACTCTCTGTGCAGTTTTTATCCTGCCCCCTGCCCCCAAAAAGGAAAAACAGCTTTGAGTTTAAAGTTTGAGAAAACAAAATTCTACACATTCTTTGCTACGACACCTTCCTGCTGCTGACGTTTGGAGAAAAGTAGACAAGATAGACAAGCAGCACGTAAAAAAGTTGAAGAAAACCTGGGGATTGCTCTACCTACTGGTACTGGTTGTCCGCAGAGGCAAGAAAACTCCAGGACTGTCCGTTTTGTGAAGGCTCATACTGAATATAGCCTGAAGACCAACATCTGTCCCTCTGAAAAAGGATACTTCCCCAATTAAGTACATTGAACTACGGCACGGGACATTAAAAAAATGCAAGATGAGAAAAACCATCTCTCAATGGGGCTGGAAAATCTAGTTCTCTGACAAAGGCTGCTCGAGAGCCCAGCAGATATTTCCCCTGCCCACCTCAGGCCTCCGGGCAACTGTAACTAAGAAGGACAGCAGCGATCACTCTCCCAGTTTTAGGTTCCTAAACAATATACATTTTATATTTTAAAACTGTGACTACTAAATAACTTTTTTTGATGACGTCATTGTAGAATCCTAGAATTGCAGAGGTACAAAGAACCTCAGAGGTTATCAGTGCAATTCCTAATCTAAAACTGAACCAGCAAATCAAGCACTATGCTTAGCTTGCTACTGGAACAGCCTTGGGCTTACTCCAGGCTTCTGAGTTCTGACACCCCGTAACAGAAGAACCCTCGCTATTGACTTTATGAATTCTATGTCACTTGTATTATTTTATATCCCTTCACGGATGTGATGATCTGTTCTGTGTATATCTCATGTAGTACTCTGCTTTTTTTTTTTTTTTTTTTGCAGTTTTTGAACCCACCACCTCCGGGATATGGGGCCAGCGCCCTACTCCTTTGAGCCACGGGCACCACCCTGTACTGTGCTTTTGGCTGTACTCTTTAACTATAAGCCAGGAAAATAGAAAACTGAATTTGTTGAATTATATTTAAAAAGAAAATAGATCAAGACTAATTTAGCCCCACCTGAGACTAAGAGGATTTTTCCTCTTTCTCTCTCTGAGTTAATTTTCTAGATAAGTGATCTCCATTTAAAAGAAGTGTTGATACTTATGCTAGCAATTTCCTTCACAAAATAAAACAAATCCCTATAAAGTCTTCAAATAAATGAAGTACCAGAATTATACCAGCGTTCATTAGTCTTACATACTTTTTCACATTGTAGTTTACTGGTAAGTTTCCTTTACCTAGACCTTAGATTGCAAATGTAATATATGAGATAAATAAAAGCAACTCCTAAGCTATCAGGAATGTAGCTAGCACAAAGGTATATGTTTATTTATAGAAAAGGGACATCTTCAGGTAATAAGATATTTAGAATTGCACATAAAAGAAAAGTTAGTTCAATTAGGAAGACATTTTATCTGATTTCCTTAAAGTGTCTGGTTATAGCCAGTAAAAAGAAAGAAAGGTAATGAAAGGTTGTTCAAGTCACACTAAAAACTAATGCTCTCGATTTGTTCTGATTGTTTTGTTTTGTTTTGTTTTAGACAGAGTCTCACTATATCACCCTTGGTAGAGTGCTGTAGTGTCACAGCTCACAGCAACCTCTAACTCTCTTGGACTTAAGCGATTCTCTTGCCTCAGCCTCCCAAGTAGCTGGGACTACAGGTGCCCAGCACAACGCCTGGCTGTTTTTGGCAGGTCCTGGGCTGGGTTCTAACCACCATTTCTGGTGCATGTGGCTGGAGCCCTAGCCAAGGAGCTCCAGGTGCTGAGCCTCAATTCATTCTGATCATATATGTACAATACAGATATAGGTATACATTGCAGATATATAAATACAAGGATAACTGCACACACAAGAATATAAAAGAATTCCATTGCTTTAAAAGTTACAATTTCTAAATCTTTGAGCAGTGGGGGAAAGAAATAGTAAATTTTCCTTGCCTCGGCCCCAAACATCTAAAATTTAAGAAAATGGAAATATTTTTAAAACATTTAATACTTTTCACCAAACTAAAGATACTTGGCTGGTTTAATACATGAAAATGCAGCTTCTAAAGTCAGAAGACTAAGCCTAGTCAGACAGGCTTCTCCACTCTTCCTAGGTAGTTTGTTTCTTGATTTTGTAGGTTTAGAAAAATGACTCCACATCATGCAAACACCACTGAAGAAGGCAAAGACTGAAAAGAGCCAAAGGCTATGGTGGGCCAAGACCTTGTCAGAGCACAGCAGGAGAACGGCTAGCAGGATCCAGGCTTCAGGCCCAGCTCAACACCTTGAAGATGCTTTGAAAAAGAGTTTCTAATGCCATGGCCCAAGGGCACTGCTTGGTTAGTAACCTTGTCAAATACACCAGCTGTGCCGTTAGCACAATTTGCTAAGAGATCAGAGAGAAAGATGTAACACCATGAATTAGAAGGCAACAAAATACTGGTTCTCTTCTCTTTTTCTAAAAACTCTGGCTAAGCTCTATGAACAAAGCTTTTGTCTCCAACACTGTAGTTACTTTTCTAAAATTCCTATAAATTTTTAAAAATTAATCATCTAAAATTTATTTCATTTTCCTTTCATTTATTTAATCCTCTACACATTGAATTTAATCAAAAACTTTGAGTTCACTTTTAAAAAAAAAAAAACAGAGTCTCAAGCTGTCGCCCTGGGTAGAGTGCCATGGCATCATAGCTCACAGCAACCTCCAACTTGGGCTCAAGCAAACCTCTTGCCTCAGTTTTTCTATTTTCAGTAGAGACAGGGTCTTGCTTTTGCTCAGGCTGGTCTCGAACTCGTGAGCTCAAGCAATCCACCCACCTGGGCCTCCCAGAGTGCTAAGGATTACAGGCATGAACGACCGCACCTGACCTGAGTTCACATTTTATAGATAAAATGGTTTTCCCAAGATTTTCAGAATTTTCTCCCATCATACTGACTACAGGTTTGTCAATGTGGGAACCATGTGTTACATCTGCTTTAATTTACCTAGTACAGTGCACAAACTAGAGATGATACTGCAGTAAATATTTCTGAATGTTCATTAAACGGGGTAATGGCAATTCCCGGAGTAAGCCATTTTTTTTTTCCAAAAGATACCATGACAGTTTACCAGAATAACCCCAAACATAAATACCTGCAGGTACTGCTTTTTTGCATCACTTCTGCCCTGTGATAACCAGACAGCTTGCAAAATCCATCATTGCTGTACACGATAGGCCAGTCCACTATCTGGGCATTCCCCAACACAAAATTAGTATCTGTTAAAAAGAAAATAAAAAGCACATGAGGCAAAACATTATTCAATTAGGACATAAATAATATCAACCAATCTAAGTATTTCTGTTTCCCTCCAAAATATAGTATCCTGAATAGGAATATAGCCCTATAAGGAGTACAAAAGAACAGTGTTCTAGAAAAATATTTCCAAGGAGAATATTCTTCCTCATTAGAAGAAGAAAAGTTGTCTTGGGCCACACATTAAATACACAAACACTAATAAAAGCTGATGAGCAAAAGAAAGGTCCATGCTTTTCATGATATCTGCCACTATGGATAAGTAAAAATGTCCTCACATAATCCACATGAGGGTCATGGGCCACAGGTTAGACCCCCAAATAAGTAGAATCTCATGAGACATAGTCAAGTCCTAATTTTTCCTCCCAGTGAAAGTATATTCATAATACAGAGCAAAAGAGGAGCCAAAAGTAATTTCTTCAGGGTGCTGTCCATTATCTTAGCTTGGTCAATCTTTTGGCCAGAAGCTACAGTTGCCCTCCTAACCCTGACTAGCATTTGCCCCTGGTAGGAGAAGGGCCTTTCAGAAAGGCAGAAAGGAGGTGATTGATCACCACCTCGTGGAACCCACACACCATGGAACCCTCCCCTTCGTAAGGAATAATGACTAGACCCTTCTAATACTAGTGCTTTGTAGAGGTTAATCAAGATGTTCACACAACAGAACCTTCTCACTAATTTTGAGATGTTGCAGCCATAGAGCTGTATTTTGGGCTTTTTCACAGAGCAGTAGCCTGCCACTCACTTACGATGCAGGGTTTAGGTAAGCCAGATATGTTTGGCTGCCTTAGTTTGTTCTCATTGCTTCCTAGATTTTTGTGGGGAAGGGGGTTGTATTTTTAACAGAGATGCGGGCTCGGTGCCTATAGCTCAGCAGCTAGGACACCAGCCAAATACACCAGAGCTGGCGGGTTCAAACCCAGCCCAGGACTGCCAAATGATGACAACTACAACCAAAAAAAAGTAATAGAAATGGGGTCTCACTCTGTCACCCAGGCTGGAGTGCAGTGGCACAATCCAGTGGCTGTAACCTCCAACTCCTGGGCTTCAGCAATCCTCCCACATCAGCCTCCAGAGCAGCTAGGACTACAGGTGCACACCACCACACCCAGATTTGCTATGCTGCCCAGGCTGGTCTTACACTCCTGGCTTCAAGAAATCCTTTTGCCTCAGCCTCCCAAAATGATAGAATTAAAGGCAATAGCCATTGCACCTGACCACTTCCCACATTTTTGAAAATCAAAAGTCTCCATTACTTTTTGTGCCCAGAAAATCAACTGTCCCTCTTTTCTTTTCAAGAACTTAAATTAAGCAAATAACATTCAGAACTTAAATGTGATCATTATTTTAGTTTTGTTCTTTCCTCCCCAGAGAATATCCACCCACCTCCTGCCACCCCCCCAACAACAAAGAAAGAACATACTCGCTTCTTTTGTTGTAAATTAGAGGTGTTCTTAATATATATAAACATACATGTGTGTGTATACATATACATGTATACACACACTATGTAAAATGAAATTAGTTGGGAGGTTAATTGTGTTCTAGAACAGCACTTACAACTCTTTTGCAATATGGGTAACCATCCCCTCTTATCCAAGTAAGAAGGTAACTATTCCTGAGTCAGGTAGGTTTCTCCACACTTTATAGATGGTTTTTCTTGTTTGTTTGTTTGGTCAGGTTTGGTGAAATTATTCTACTTTATGAAATAGCACTAAAGATAGAAAACTCCAAAGAAGGAAAGGCCTGAGAGGAGCCAAAGGCTGGAGTGAGCCAAGACCTTGTAGAGGAGTAGAGAAGAGAGAGGGAGGAGGAATCACTAAATATGGCAATTTATTCTTTAGAGTACTTAGATCTATTTAAAGGAACATAAAAGACAACTTCAGTGATGAGAATCTATAAACCTACTTTTTAGATTTTTTATAAATATGCTTTTCATGAAAATCTACAACCAGTCCTTCCCTCTATCCTCTCCCATATACACATAAATACTTCTCGAGTGCCTACTACGTACCAAGCACAATGCAAGACCCAGATGTATCCAGGTTGATAACACATGGTCCCTGCACTCAAGGACAAGTGGACATATACCCAACTAACTAAAGAAACAACTACGAAAGTGGTTCACAATGCTTGGAGGAGGTAAAGGGCTGTGACTCGGGGATATAACATTTGAACTTGCTCTAGTGTAAAAAGATGAATAAGGTTTATTTAAACATTTGTAATGCCTAAGATGCATCAATAATACAAATAATACAAAATAATACAAAGTCAATAAATATAGAAATGACAATATAATCCCTGTCTTTGGTGAACTCAAGAGAGTGGGAACAGGGAGGGAATATTCCAGGCAGGGGATCCATCATGGGCAAAGGCATGGCAGCATGGAACACACAGCAGGTGGGGGCAGATAGGCAAAGGGAAGCCAGGAAATATGGCAGAGGAGGTGAGACTGAAGAGCTAACTGGGAAGGACCTCGAAGGAATAAAGCCAAAGAGCTTTGACTTTTTATTCTTGAGGCAGAAAAACCCTTCATGTTGCTCTCCTCTCTATGAATAAAGTCAACATTTTCTAAAGGGAACAGCTTAGTCTAAAAGAAGTATAAAATTCACTAAAATACCCCTTAGCGTATACAAAATCTGGTAGGTTTACTCTCTTTTGTTGCCTTCTAAAATAGTAATCCATTTCCCACAAAATACAGGATGGAGAAACTGAATGTAATTTTTCATGGTTAGTATTCTACTAAGATGACATATGTGATACGAAGGAAAAATAACTAGTTATAGATAATGGATTATCACATGTGTTTACTTTCTTTCAGTAAAATAAAAGTAAATGAATTTTAAAAAATCAAAATCCACAAAAGTGAGAATATGGTTAAAAGGATACACTGAAAATGACTAAAAAGAAGCAGGCATAATATAGGAAACAAAAAAGAATTTTCTTAAAACTCCCTAATTAATATCTTCAGAGAGATTCAGGAAGTATTATATCCATACAACAAAAGCAGGATGCTATGGGGTGGGTGGGAGAACCCCATAAGAGAAAAAGAACTCTTGTTAATTAAAAATAATAGCAACTGGGCAGCTCCCGTAGCTCAGTGGTGAGGGCGCCAGCTACACACACCCAGGCTGGCAGGTTCAAGCCCGGCCTGGGCCAACTAAACAGCAATGACAATTGCAACAACAAAAAAAAATAGCCAGTTATTGGGGTGGGCGTGTATAGTCCCAGCTACTTGGGAGGCTGAGGCAAGAGAATTTCTTAAGCCCAAGAGTTTGAGGTTGCTGTGAGCTATGACGCCATGGCACTCTACTGAGGGTGACATAATAAGACTCTGTCTCAAAAATAATCATCATAATAATAATGACAGCAATTAAAAATTCGCATAAATGTTAGAAGATGAAGTCTAACAGAAAGTGGTACAGAAAGAGAAAAAGACAAGAAACATAAGAGAAAAAAAATAAGACCTATTCAATCAGTCCAAGAGGAACAACACGCACTGTGAGAAGAACAGCAGAAAGAACAACCCGAGAAAAGGCCAGAAGAGATTTATTTTTTAAATGAAAAGAATCAAATAGAGAATATAATAAAAATATGCAGAGATTTGAGGACTGTCTTTCCCACATATTTGTTCTTACTTGAGGATGTGTGCCAGCAAAATGAGGGAGTAAAGCAGAAAAGAAGGCAACAAGGGAATCAGGAAAAAAGGTGCTCTAGATGCAGTAAGCAGGGAAGCTAATAGAAATCATTCAGTGCCAAATGGCTCAGAGAATAGAAGTTTCAAAAGAGAGTGATCTAGGGGCAAATGAGGTCAGGACTTAATATCGTTTTGCATCTGGACATATTAAATCAATAAAGGTATATAATTTGGGAGACAGGAAAGAGAATTATAATTGAAAAATCAAAGAAAACCATGAAAGAAGGGAAACCAAATCACACTGTCATGTCATTGTAGAAATAAGGTAATCACATCATTAATTTCCAATTTTTAAAACCAATATAAGTGAAACATGGAATATTTAATTACAAGTATCCAAACATAATCTCACCAATACCTACACTAAAAATATAGAGGATAAAAGTTTAGAGAGAGAGAAAAGTAAAATGATGAAGAGAATAAGAGATTGGCCACATACTGTGGCTCATGCCTATAATCCTGGTAGGCGGCTGAGGGGAGAGGATCACTTGAGATCACCAATTCAAGATCAGCCTGAGAAACATAGCAAGCCCCATCTCTACAAAAAATAGGCAGATTAGCCAGGCATGGTGGCACACACCTGTAGTCCCAGCTATACACAAGGCTAACCCAAGAAGATTCCTTGAGCCTGGGAATAAGTTTGAGGTTGCAGGAAGCTATAATGATGCCACTGCACTCTAACTCGGGCAATAGAGTGAGACTCAGTGTCAAAAAATAATAATAATAATAATAATGATGTCCAGGCATGATACAAAAAGAAAGATATAAAAAATAAAATAAAATAAATTTTAAAAAGTATCCAGGCATGGTGGTATGTGCCTATAGTTCCAGCTATTCAGGAGGCTGAGGCAGGAGTATTGGTTAAACCCAGGAGTTCAAGGCTTCAGTGAACTATATGATGATACCACTGCACTCCAGCCTAGGTGACAGTGCAACACCCTGTCTCTGAAAACAAAAGGGAGAGGGAGGTTTAATTTTTTTTAAAGATATAAATATTTTCCTTTAATTTGCAAAGAAAACAAGGGAATAATGTAACTATATTAGGAGGAGAAAGTAGAAAGTAAAATTAAGCTAAAATCTCAATTAAATTAACAGAAGTCGGCTCAGTGCCTGTGGCTCAAGTGGCTAAGGCTCCAGCCACATACACCTAAGGTGGCGGGTTCGAATCCAGCCTGGGCCCACCAAACAACAATGACGACTGCAACCAAAAAATAGCTGGGCATTGTGGTGGGTGCCTGTGGTCCCAGCTACTTGGGAGGCTGAGGC